TATATATATATATATATGTGTGTGTGTGTGTGTGTGTGTGTGTGTTTATATATATATATATATATATATATATATATATATATATATATATATATATATATATATATATATATATATATATATATATATATATATATATATTTTATAAATATAAGTATTTGTATAAATATGTTGTGTGTGTATATATATATATATATATATATATATATATATATATATATATATTATAATATATATATATTTTTATACATACTGATATATATTATAACGCAAGCGCTATTAGATGCACTTTAAATGTATAAAAATGCTGTTTTAGGTTGAAAAAAATGCGTTTAATATTGCTCTAGTATATATATATATATATATATATATATATATATATATATATATATATATATATATATATATATATATATATATATTAAATTTAAAGAGGATAAGATTTAGAACTAATGTTTAAATTTAACTTAATAAGAAAATATAACTTAATGTTTAAATTTAACTTAATAAAAAAATATTTAAAAAGTTTGTCCATCAAATATTTAAGGTGAATTGCGGCAATAAAAAAAGTTCAAACAAAGATTAAATTAATAAATTCAAATTAAGATACAACACATCATCAATTTTTGTGAAATAAAATTGAAATAATGTTATAAACTTGCGCTAAAATTTTCAAATTAATTAAAACCAGACTTTCTTACAAATGAAAAATTAATCAACTAAGATACTAAGCATTTGAATAATTAAGCATTAAATATTCTACTGCCATTTATTTATATGGGAGATTTTGAATTTTTGGTAAGGTTATAAATTTGCATATAAAACTGCAAATAAAACAGCAGAATGTTCAACAAAACAGAATGTTGTGCTATTTTGGCAAATAGGTTTGGTTGAACCCTGGCGCCGAACATGCAAAAAATAATAATTTTGAAAAACATATGTTTTCTTCTATATACTTCAAATTAAATTATTTGTACCATATCTGGTTGCTAAGGCACAATAAGTTAAATTTTAATATAAATATTAATAATACATGAGTTAAATTTTGAATGTCACCATTTATTAAACTTTAAATGTTAAATAGAAATTTAAATAAAAAATATATTTTATTGAACTGCGTCCGTCCAAAGAGACGTCGATTGTTACTGTGGTAAAACAAATAAATATTCCTATAGTTTCTCCATTTATGTTTATTATATATAATATCTTGATACAAAACTCTATGATAACTTATTAAGGAGTTCCATAATAACGCTTCTAATTATTATGGAGTTATTATTATATAATCCTACTATGAAATAAAAAAAACAAACAAATCAGAAATTTTAGTCTTTCACATAAGCAATTAATCATTTAGTGAAGAAATAAAATATCAAAAACATAAGTGAAATTCAATTCAACTTGTTGCTCTCAAGTTGTAATGTATAAACAATAGTTTTTCACCACCTGGTGATTACTTCTATTAGGTTTTTCATCATCTTCTTGTGGTTGTCTCTATTAGGTTCATAAATGTTGTATCATACTAAAAGGTCTTTCATTTTCTACAGAAGAAGGTGGTGCTGAAAAAAGTTTTTAAGCTATTTACTTTTTTAAAGAGTTTTCACAATTTTCCACCATATAAGTGGACTTTCTTTTTCCATGACAAGAGGAAGTTTTAAGTACTCTCTACTTTCCTTGTTTATGATGTGTATATTATGTGTATATTGGAGTTTGATTTTTTCAATCTTTTGCCATTTTCACTATTTACAAATATAGAATCATCTATAGTTGTCAGTTTGGAAACTCAGCAGATAGCACTTTTGAATTTTAATAAGGTGGTTTTACAACTACTTCATTTGTGTTACTTACTGTGGGTTCCTTACAATCAGAATCAGATTATTGCTGCCATTTTATTGCTGCCTTTCTTGCATCTGCTTATATATCCAATTTTTATTTTATTCTCATCTTCCTTTTGATATGTTAATTTATATCTAGGGTTATAAAAAATGGAAAGACATATATACTTTTAATGTAAACACGTATACTTGTAATGTACCCAGTCTTTTATCTATCAACTCATTTAATTGTTTAACTAAAGTAATTATACTAAAAAATGCCTCACAAAAAAACATGATTAAAAAAGTTCTTTCAGAGCCATAGTTGAAGGAAAAACATCTGACATGCTTAACGTTTGCTAAGATTAACAGTTAAAGTTTTGAATCGCTCAAAAATATAAAAAATTTTATGTAATAAATCCCATTGGAATAAACTTAGTGTTGATTAGGTAGCATGACCAGGTGTATTGGTTGCCAAAGGAGCTCTTTGATCAAGCATTCTTTTAATCATATCATAGGAACTGTTCTTTGTCTTGTAGTAACATTTTGAACTAACCTATGCTTATGTTGGTGAAAGGTGAAAATGAGTTTCCAGGTATCTTCAACAAGTTAGAATATCTTTCACAAATTTATTCAGCAAAGCTGAGCCATTTATACATAACTGTATTGTATCTATAAAAGGCATGAATGATATATATAAATGTCATATGTATATATCATATTGTATCTAATTATGACATAAATAGCATGACATTGAATTAAAACCAGTCTATAACATTAACTATCACATTATCAGCATTATCATTTAAAACAGTGTGAATTTTTGTGCGTAAAATTTCAAAGCTTAATAAACTTTTATGTAAATACTTTATGTAAAAATGTTTTTTACTTTCTATAAAATTCTGATTACTGCTCTTTGTTGGGAAAGTTCATTAATGAGTCAGTGTGCTGTCATGCTTATAATGGCAACATTTAAACTATTTAATTCCCAAATGTTGGTTACAAAAGAAACATAACTTGCAGCAGATAGATTACTCTTGATAGAATTAAATAGTTCATTATATATTTGTGGAATAACATTTTCACTAAAATATCTTCTTCACTTTGTTGAATGTTTAAAACCATCATTTCTCCGATCCGATTGTGGATTTTGATTGCTCCATAATCAATAATATCCCATAACTTTTTTTATTAATACTATATTGCGAATTTATTTTTTAATTTGATGATTACTCGATGTAGAGGCAGTAGATGTTAAACTTTTTTTTATCAGACTTTATTTTCAGCTAATATATATTCTTCAGGGTGCTTTTCTTTTAAATGACTCCCAACTGCACTAGTGGTTTTTACCACAAGTGCACTTAGTGCAAATAGATACAGCTAGTAATTATTTTAAACAATAGAAATTTCATATATATATTTTCATGTTAATTTTTTTTAATATTTTTGTTTTAATTATTTAATTATATATTATATTTCTTTTGTTTATTCATTTATTTTTAAAAAATGATTACTTTCAGTTATGTAACCATACTTAAACCTAGCCCTAACCCTAGCCTTAATCCTGGCCCTAACCAAACCCTCACTCAATATAGCAGCACTCCTACCGGTAGCAGGCTATAAGATAGTCAATGTACTATTTTGTAACTGGAAATGTTGTGTATACTATAAGAACTTAAAATGTTGTGCATACTAAAAAAACTTATACTATAAGAATAATATAGTATATAAATACTATTTATACTATAAGAATATTATACTATATAAATATTATTTATACTATAAGAATATTATACTATATAAATACTATTTATACTATATACTATACTTATACTGTAACGTAAAATATTAGAAACTTATGCTCTAAGAACATATACTATAAGAACTATAAGATACTAATAAAAATGTTTGTGTATACTATAAGAACTTAAAACAGTTTACAATTCTCACTGACCCTTGTTATACTGGGACAAACCATTGTACTTATTGTCACTCATATCAAAAAATTACTTACAATTGTATGCAAGTTGTACTGTTCTCTGGTATCAGTGTCAATGCAGAAGTCTGTGGCAGTTGTCCTGATGGGATACCTTGAGAATAGTTCTTTTGGGATAACACAAAGGGATACTCTAACAAAAAGATACCCTGGTGTACACCTAGAGTGGAATTTTTTATGGGATACCAGTCTTGAGTGAATGCTGGAGGTTTTTTTTGTTCATACTGTACCATAAGGCGCGTATCCATACCATACTCGAGATGTGCATGAAACATGTATATTTATAATGTATGTTTATCACCCTAATAATAAAGACCACATAGTAACTACTTATAAAATGAATAATTCTGCTCCATCACTGACACATCACATTTTTGCTCGACACTAACAACTTTTTAGTACCAAACAATTCTCCAATTTTCCTCGACTATTGTTTATTGTTTCTGTTTATATTTACTATATTTTATTTAGATCAACTTTTTTACTTAGAGGCTGATTGTTTTCCACTAGACATCTGTCCTTTTGTACTTTTATCTCACTCTGCTAAACTCTTTTTAACTTATTATGCATCTCACTTCTTGGTGCAGCTAAACTAAAAAGCATTGCATTAACAAAAATTGTGTACTTTTCACTTTCACAACTTCTTTGCTTTCAACAAGGCTGCAACCAACCATTATTAGAGTTGGAAGTTTCTGGAAGAGAAAAGATGAAGTTTATAGAGCAAGATTACGATTGACAGACAACTTAAAAGATTGCAAATTATATGAATAATAATATAATAAATTTTATTTATTTTTACTTTGTTCTTATATATATATATTTATATATATATATATATATATATATATATATATATATATATATATATATATATATATATATATATATATATATATATATATATATATATATATATATAAATTTATATATATATATATATATATATATATATATATACACACATATACATATACATATACATATATGGATAACTTTGCAACAAGGTAATTAGATGCAAAGTTTAAAAGTTTTTAACAGAAGGCGCTACACAAAAACTAAATATGATGTCCAGTTCAATCGTAAATTTGAAGTATAATATATTTTTGTTTGCAAAAAAAACTATATAAATCATTTTTTATTAGAAACTCATTTTTTTTTCAGTTTTGTATATATTGTTTGGCTCGTTTGGTGCTTATCCATCCACATATATATATATATATATATATATATATATATATATATATATATATATATATATATATATATATATATATATATATATATATATATATATATATATATATATTATATATATATATATATATATTTATATATATATATATATATATATTTATATCTTTATATATATATATATATATTTATATATATATATATATATATGTATATATATATATATATATATATATATATATATATATATATGTATATATATATATATATATATATATATATATATATATATATATACATATAAACATTATATATACATTTTATATACATTATATATATAAACATTATATATACTTATATATATAAACATTATATATACATTTTATATACATTATATATATAAACATTATATATACACTTTGTATACATTATATATATAAACATATTTATACAGACTTAATTATGAGTTTGGCTATTTTAGGTCATGGAAACATGTGTCAAAAACTGTGGTCAGCCATTCCATGAGGAGATAAACAATCATGAGTTTATGAGTGAACTAAAACAATTAGCTCAGGTATTTTTGGATATACGCATATGTATCAATTATATTTACACTAACTGCAGATATGGTCGGGAAAGGTGTGGGATTGTACTCTACTCCTGAATATGTAATAATTTTTTTTTCCCAACAAGTTAACCACTTTTTTATGTTTTCAGGGTGTTTCAAAAATGTGCTAAAATAATTAAATTTGAAATTTTGATTTTTTTTGGTTAAATGTTGTTATATTATTCAATTTTTTAATTCATGATCTTTTAGAAAATACACAGAAACAAGAGAGGTTAAACCATCTTTCTCCTTGATTTTAAATTTAAACAAATATGAATCCATATCATCAATTTCTTCACTACTTAATTCAACTGAGGCTTAGATTGCTAGTTTTACATCATGTAACATTAACACTTTTTTTTTCGAAAATCATCAATAATAAAGTCAATTTCCCTAACACACTCAATTAACTACATAATAGTCTGTATTCATGCAACCTTTTATATACCATGGAAAGTTTCTTTTGTCTTAGTAAGTCAATCAAGTCTTAGTAGCTTAAAGTTTCTTCTTAGAAAGAGTTTCTTTTGTCTTAGTAGCTCAATCAATAAGAGCATTATCAAAACCTACAATAAGTGTTATATCAGTTATAATTTTTTATTTTAAATTGAATACATAAATATAAAAGCGTTTACACTATTTTACCCAGATATTTTTAACTGCACCTTTATGGCCTTTTATAAAAGTGGTTTACGCAATGAATTTTTACCAGACATTTTTATTTGCATTTAGGCCCAATTGTAAATGCCAAAATTGAAGTTATTAAAAAATCATATATTTTTTTATTTCATTTTCATAATCTTTATTTAAAAACATTTTGATTAATAATATAAAAACATTAAATAAGATCAAAGCTCTAAAGTTATTTATTACAAATAAAATTGTATTTTAAAAGTATTTTTATTTAATTTTTTAAATTTTGCTTAGTGAATTTTTATTTTTTGTAAAGTTTTATTTTTTTAAGTTTATTTTTTTAGTTTTCTGTTTCGCTAAGTTTACTTTTATATTTTTAGCTCAATTTTTTTTTTAATTTCCTTACTATTGTTGAGTTGAGCTTTTTTGACTTGTTTTGAAATGCATGCCTTTCCTGACCAAGTTTTTTTTGTCTGTATTTTAATATAATGTACTTTTTTAGTTTTTTTTTTTTTTTTGCGTTTATCATCAGAAAGTGCCAGAAATGACATGGAATTTATAAATGGTAATATAAATGACATCTTTAATTGAATTTCATATTTCACTTTTTTTTAAATTTATGCATAGGAGATATTGGGATTTTTTAGACAAAGACATAAAATACAAATGACTTTTTGAAAATTTCTTCATTTTTACTCTACAAAGAAGATTATAGGTTTTATGAAAAAACAAATATTTTAAAGACTCCAGTTACATATCTAAAATTTTATTATCAAAAAACAATTTAAAATAATACAAATATTTGTCTAGACATATCTTTCAACATATCTAAGGCTTTCGACAAAGTTTAGCATGCTGGTCTTTGCCATAAGCCTGTTTCATATGGTGTATCTGGGAAAGTTTTTGAGATTATCAAGTTGTTTCTTTCTAGCCACTTTATTTAAGTCATCTTCGAAGGCCAACACTCTTCTTTATTTCCAGTAATTTCTGGGGTACCTCAAGGTACTATCTTTGATCCTCTTTTGTTTTTTATCTACATTAATGATCTTCCCAACAGCTTATATCTTAAGTAGCTCTTTTTGCTGATGAGTTATCAAAGTTTGCACTCCTGTCTTGAAAAAAAGTCTTCTCTTTTCAATCGAACAGACCGTCAATCTTGAATCTGATCTCACTTCTGTAACAGATTGGAGCTCACAGTAGCTTGTATATATTTTAACTCCAACAAAACTCATTTATTTACTGCAAATAACTATTGCAGTGCTGTTGACATACCTATATAAATGATTGGCAACCCTCTCACTTCCTCTTTATGTCTTTTATGGATTATCGTTTACTACTGACCTTTTATGGAAACCATATATACAATCGATTGCTAAAATAGCATCTGCTTAACTCTATAGAAAAAAGCAAGAAACAATCAGGAATATATAAATAAGCAACTATAAAAAAACTTTGTAGATACACAACAATCATCGCAACAATGTAGCATAAGAAAGATCTATAATTGAATTACTGAGAGCAAAAGAATAAATACTAAAATAATAAAGCATAACAAAAAAACTGACTTTCTCTCAAAAGAATCTAAATTCTATTATCTAAAAAACAATTTGAAAAAACTTTTTTTTTAACAAAATAATACAAACATTTGTCTACACTAAATCTACTGATCTCATGTTAAAAGTAACTAATTGATATTGAATGTATAAATTAACTAACTGATATTGTTGGATGCTGGCATTAGAATGCTTTATGTAGCTAAAACAGTATAAAAAATATTTTTTATTATTTACGTTACATGTATTATACATAAAGGTTAAGTTTTAATAATGTTACCAATATATATTAGTTATATATGACCATATTTTATTTATATTATTTTTGTCTTGACAACTGTCAAAATATGCTTTGTCTAATAAATAATTCTCCTTTATTCTAATGTACTTCATTTCTTCCCTCAGGCGTTCACTGCTCGTGTGTGACCATTCGGCGAATTTTATATGCCAAAGTTTTTAAATAATATAATATTATACATAGATAATATATAATATTATGTTATATATTATCTATATACAATATTATATATAATATAATATTATGGATAGATATTATATAGTATTATATTATATATTATCTATATATAATATAATATATCATATAGACAATAAATATTTGAATACAAAAAATAAACATATTTGCTATTATTTTAATAATAAGTAATTTTATTTTTTATTTCAATTTAAAATCTATTCATTATTACTAAAGGTTTCTGTTCATTATTACTAAATTGCTATTTTTTTGAATCTTTATGCTGTTTATTGAAAAAATAACTTTTGGGGTAAGTTGGCAAAATATTTATGGGACTAGTTAGCTTATTGTGTTTACTTAAGGAAAAAAATGTTATAAAATTGATTTTTTTGTTTAAAGTTTGTAACAATAATGAGAAAATTAATTTTTTACAAAAAAAAATTAAAATTTTGTTTTTTTATAAAATTGAATTTTACTTTTTTTTTTAAACTCTTAAAGGATCCAAGAAATTTTTTTTTTTATAATGCAGATTGATGTTTCCTAAATTCATAGTCTTAATGACTACGATTGATTATTTACAAAAAATGTACACAAAAAAAAACGGGTCTATAGAGCTTAAAAAGTAACATCAGAGGCAACTTGCCCCTGTCTCCCTTTGTAAATGTACACACTTGCTTTTGCTGTCTTAGGTCAGTGCTGTGAGATACCAGGCAGTTATTATAAAATAATAATTGCCTTTACTATTAAATTTCTTAATTTTATTAAAACTTTTTTAGAATATTGTATAAATAGAGCAATATGTTATTAATAATATTAAACTGAAATAAGTTTAGTTATATTTTTTTTAAACTGGTAAATATTTGAATACATAAATATATATACTATTATTTTAATTAATATTAAGTAATTTTGATTTTGATTTCAATTCTGTTCATTTGCACTAAAGTTTATAACTTTTAGTTATAATTTTTACTAAAAGTTATAACTTATAACAGTGCTTTAAGTAGTCTTTTAAATAACCTACAGTAAACTACATTAAATATATATATTTTTTACTGGTGGACCATGTAAAGTTACTCACCTTGAACTTATTTTAAATGAATTTAAAATAAGTTCAAAGTGAGTAACTTCTGTACCCAAGGTCTCACTAAATTAGTGCAGAAAAATCAATGCTATATCATTAGATTCCTTTTTTCCTACGTCTCATTATAGAAACTTAAATAGTTTCCAGGTTATGTATCTTTAAAGTATAAAAACAAAGTTTTTATCTGTAATGTGTCATTGGTAATATTAAAGGACAGAAATTTAGAAGTTTTTTAATTGTTTAACTTTTGTTTAAAAAACAGCTAGCATGTTACTATTTTCAGTAAAACAAGAAATTTTATACTAGATAATTTAAATTATATTTGCATTCGCACGAACATTTAAAAAGCATGAATCAAATTCATTTTTTTTTTCTTTTGTTGTTTAAAATGATTTTAAACATGAAACTGTATATAATATACAAATGTTATATATGTTTATGTGTGCTTTAGACAGGAACTGCACCAGTAAAAGAGCAGATTTTGACTATGATTCAAGCATGGAATCATGTGTTTCGAAATAAACCACAGTTTCAACCTATTCTTGCTACTTACAATTTGTTAAAAATGGAAGGTATTTCACAATTTTAATGTTAACCAACTTATATTAAGTTTTTATTTTTGATTTTATTTGTAGTTACTTGAGAACCATTTTTTCCCAACCTATTCATCTTGCCATAGCCACATATATTAGAACAGTTTTTTTTTTTTTGTTTTTTTTTTGTTAATTGTTTACCTGAAGAACTTGGGTAGATAAGTATTGTGAATATTTTTCCAGTGGGCACAAGACAAGTTTAAGACATCTAAAACACAAATTAAAACTTATTAATATGTTTTGGGGTTGTCTGTAAAATAAGGAACGCCAAGAATTTAGCCTTTTTTTTTTAAATTATTATTTATTCAAATTTTTTAGTTATTAAGAATTACTTGTTAATTGTGATAAATTAAAAAAACAAATATTAACTTAAAATAAATTAGTGTGTACATACTTTTATATTAAATCCCTTAAAAGCTTATTTTTAACCTTTTAACTTCTCTTTATTAACTTATTCATAAATCTAAATGTTTTAGTAAATTAAATTACTTATTTCTTTGGTTGTCATTTTGTTGTAAAAATATTTTCCATAATAGACATTTAACATTCATATATGATCTAACCCTGACCTAAATCCTTCAGCTTTTATTGCCAGTATGTCTTTTTAAAAAGTGACATATTAGAAACATTTTCTTAGTGTCTTTTACTAAAACAATAATGTTGCTATGAAGATTAACCACTGGCATTGCAAACATTTCTGTTAGGGAAATAGTTACCATAGTAATAGTTACTAACTTTGTATAAAATTTTTAATAAATCTTATATGTTTAACGTTAAATCTAGAAATATATTGCTAGATTCTATGCACTATGATAACCTTTTAAAAACAAAACATTACATTAATTGTCTAACATGTAATTGCAATGAAAATAGTTTGCTATTAGGCCTAATAGACTCTCATGTAAAGTGTTTAAAAAAATATGAGGAAATAGTGGAAAGTCATTCATAAACATATACTTGAAAATGATATGAAACCAAAAACTGATCCTCGTTATTTGTCACTGATGATATGTCTCAAAGTAAAACATCATTTACCAAACTTTAATAAAAGTTTCATAAAATTGATTACTTTGTACAGAATTAAAATTACGCATAAATTAAAATGTTATACATGTTATGCAACTAACATAAAAAATTATGTTAGTTGCATAACATTCATGAAAATTATGCATTTTAATTTAAAATAGTTTGTAGTAGATATTTGGCTTTTATTTTGTAGTTGACATAAAAAACTTGTTTTGTATGTTTACTACAAAATATTTTATAAAGATAATTTGAAGAAATTAATAAAAGAACTTTTACAATTTTCATGTAATTTAATTTAAATAATACACAATAAAGTTATGTTTTTCAATAGTTTCATCAAAAAACAAAAATTTTTAATTAATATGTGTGCATTGATATTAAATCTTATGTTTTTCCATTTAAAGTTTTGAATAAAGATGCTTAATTAAAACAAAGTTAATTTTGAACTGTGTAACATAAATTAAAACTTATTAACCTGAATTTTCTCCTAAGATAAAATATGCTGATATCGCTTTTAAGTAGATTCTTAATAAACATTTTTTTAATATAAAATAAATATTTATATTTTAAGGCAAATTGAACAAATGACATTATTGAAACTATTAGCTGTTTACAGAGTTGTTAACAAGGGCTAAAGTAGCAAGGTCAAATCCAAGGCCCAACATTTTTCATGACCAAACACTTCAATGCCTTACGTAAGGCCAATTATTAACAAAATTGTAAGTAGTAAGTGCTGTGACAATAAAACCACACTTTGTAAAAATAGACCAAGGTTATGCGCAGAATTCAACAAAATCAATAAAAAAATATTTTTTTTTAGGGCCAAGGCCAAAACAATCAAGGCCAAGGCCAAAATTTTCAGGGCAAGACCAAGGCCAGCAGTTTCAAGGCCAAGACTCAATTTTTGACCTAAAGGCCAGGCTAAGGCCAAGGCTAAAGACGAACAACTCTGGCTGTTTAAATAATGTTTATTTTATACTAATACTAATTTAGTTAATTTTATACTTACTAATGACCGAATATGGCTCTGGATATATTTTATCTGCCAAAAGCAATAAACTGATTTTCAGTAAATTTTTAGCAATATTTTATGTTCCAAAGATATGAGTTGAATTTGGTGGAAATTTTTAATCATAATTGGATGGTAGCGTAAGTTAAATATATAGTGTCAAATAAAATGTTTATTTTACTGTCACTTCAAATTAAACTTTTTTATTTTTATTTCAAGTATTGAATTCATAACATTGTTTTAAAAGTTATAATACAGTTCAACTGGTTTGCAAAAATTTTAACCTTTTAACTTTTTAAAACTTTTAACCTAAAAGTTAAAATAAAGTTTGTTTGTTTTTTGTTTTTTGTTTTTTTTGCATAACATTTATTAAACTGTATTTTTGGTCCTAAGTTTACCATCCTTTTGTCTAAACTTTTCAGTTTATTTTATTCTTCTGACTAAATGTTTTTTTATATTTAATAATTAAATGTTCTCATTAGTTTTTCTTTCTTTTTTTTTTTTTTTCAATTCTTGTCAGAAATAAAAAAAACAACAAACAAACAGAGAATCAGAGGATTTTTTTTATAATGTAGGAATTTTTCAGAGGTGTTATTATCACTAGTATCAATGTATTATAAGGACTGAATGTTCTTACATAATTTTATTTTTTTGATTTTTCAGTTATAACAGTTTGTTATTTTATTTTGTTCAATCATTGGAATTGTTTTTATTATTGGATTGCTAAATTCTTTTACTTTACAGTTATTAACTTAATTTTCCACTCAATTTTATAGGTGTTAAATTCCCTGAGTTAAAGGAAAGTGATGCCATGTTTACAGCTGATCATGTACGTGTTTACTGTATTTTTATATTTGTTTATTAATGTTTTATATACTGTTTTTACTTTAATATTTTATACTTAAATTTGCATATAGCAATTTTTTACTTTAAAATTTAAATATGTATGTGTGATTTATTTTTCTTTTGAATTAAGTAAATCAAGTTTTGTTATTTAAAAATAGCAAAATGAATAACTTTTTTAAATTAATTTTTAATTTTTAATTTTTTTACAAAAAAATTGCAGTTTTTTCTATGAAATATCTAAATGTATTGTATTTTTAAAAAGTTCTAATTTATTTATGGTGATGCTGATTGCATAATTGTTATTATGTACACCCTAACTAATCAGTTAAATTTTTAAAGTGTTTTTTTTTTTTTTTAATTTGTTCCAATCCTATTTAGTTTAAGAAATGTTCAAGTTCCATCAAATTTGTACAAGTGCAGCAAGTTTTCAAAAAAAAATAATTTATATACTTTTAGAGTTAAAAGATGAAATTAAGAATGTTTGTTAAAGCAGTTGACTTATTTAAAATTTTTGGTTTTGATAAATACTTACATTTTTAATGTTTTAAAACTTTTAATTTAAGGCTCCTGAGTGGAAAGAAGGGGACGTTTGTAATTTATGTAGAACAAAGTTTTCGATGTTAACAAGACAGGTATATTCGTAGTTTTTTTTTTTTTTTTTTTTTTTATTTTAATTCACCTCCTCAAGACCGAGAAAGCCACTACAGACGAGGAGGCTACTTATTTGTGGTTATAACCCTCTCTCAACTCTATAACTCCGAAACACGAACCTTGACGAGCAAGGCCGCTGCGCGGAGAAACGAGTTGAGCGCGGTACTACCAGGGACGTGGTGGGGATCGAAAGTTTAGCTTATAATTATTTTTTGTTCTGTATTATGAACATTTTTTTAATTAAATTTAGTTAATTATGAACAGTGGATCTCTTCCTGCTCATAATTAACTAAATTGAAAATAAAAACTTATGAAAAGTATAATCTTAAATTTAGCACCATTGCAGAGCCTGTGGCGAAGTATTTTGTAACAAATGTTCTTCGAAGACATCAATAATACCCAAAATTGGCATGGAAAGAGAAGTTCGTGTTTGTGACACTTGTTTTGATGAAATTAATCCAAAGTGAGTAATCCATATATAATTATGGCTCAGTTGTTATTTATTTTTTGCTAAGTGAGTAGTAACATAAATATTGCTAATTTATTATTTAATGGTTGCTATGTGAAGACATATATAAATATTGCTCAATGGTTAAGAAGAAAACAAACAGTTAAAATGCAATTGAAAAACTAAAATCTTCAGACTAATTAACAAATTTTTATATATAGCTGGATTTTTTATTCTGTTTGTTTACTATTAAAAAAGTATATATTATTTATAAAAACTTGTAAGGTTAAGAATACTTTTAAACTAAGTATATATTATTTATAAAAATTTATAAGGTTAAGAATACTTTTTAACAGTATTCTTATTTGATAAGTATTTGTTAGACATTGTAAATTAGGTTTACTAAAAAGAATAAAAAAAACTTTTGTTTTATATAATTTATAAAGCTCAGTTCAAAAAATCCAAAAAAAAACAAACATTTAAATACATTAAGTGACATAAATGGAATTTCAGATTTACTAAATAATGAAGTTGTAACAACATTCTCATAAATCTGAATTATAAGCTTATTTAAACCAGAATTAGTCAGCAAAAAACTGGTTTAAAAGTGAATTGAACTAACAAAAAAAAGTGCATAAACTCCTTCCAGTTGCACTGAAAAATATACTTTAATTGTGGTTATAACCCTCTCTCAACTCTATAACTCCAAAACATAAACAAGGCCATTGCGCGGAGAAACAAGTTGAGTGCAATACTACCAGGGGACATGGTGGGGATTGAACTGGAACCTCTCGCTTATGAAGCAAGCTCTCTACCACTACATCACTACCACATTTAAAACTACAAACTATTTTGCTGGAAGAAACTATACATCTATTTATTTAAAGATTTGTGTCACAGAAATAATGAGCCTATTTAAGGTTATCAACTCAAGTATTATTGTAAATCATCACTCTTTATTTGCTATGGTTGGTAAGTAAGCAAGCTATATATAATTATTGCTGATTTATTGATAAGTAGTTGCTAAGTGATTAATCCATAGATTAATGTCCTAAAACCATTTGTTCCAACAACCATTTGTTAATCGCTGCTAAGTGAACAATCTATATATAGTTATTGCTTATTATTTAAATCCCAAGTGAGTATTATTTTTAATTTTTAATTTTTTTTTTCTATTTAGTACTGGAAAAGAAATTAAAAACCCCAAAAAAGAAGACAATGGCCTTCCAGAAGAATATCTCAAGTCTGATCTTTATAAAGAAGAACAACGAAAGGTTAGTTATTAAAAAGTCACCAAAGTGTAACCAGTTACTTAATTTGGTTTTAAATCATGTTTAAAGTTAGATAATTTTCAATTGATCCATTATAACATTTTTGCAGAAACATCAAAATAAACTATTGTAAAAAATAATTTTTTATATTTAATGAGTTTATTACTTTAAGATTATTATTAAATTTATTTTTTTTAATTTTTTTTTTTTTGAATCCAATTATTATTATTTTCATTTGTTGTTTTCAAACTACAACTCAAAATGAATGATAAAAAATGCTTAATGTCTAAAAAATTTAAATGGCTTTAAATTTTCTAAACATTAAGCATAATTTTATTATGAAACACTAAAATATAAGAATAGTACATTGTAACCATGGTTATAACCATACATTGTAACCATGTACTATGTGTGTACCATCTACTTTTTATTACATTATGAAACATTAAAGTATAAGAACAGTGCATTGTTACCATGCACTATGCATGTACCATGTACTTTTTATTTTATTATTAAACACTAAAATATGAAAACAATACATTGTTACCATGTACTAAGCATGTACCATGTACTTTTTATTTTGTTATGAAACACTAAAATATAAGAACAGTACATTTTAACCATGTACCAAGCATGTACCACAGTGTTTCACAGCAAGGCGTGTGTTTGTACATCTTTATATGACCACCCATGTACAATTTTTGTTTTGCTAACTTGAACATGATTAAAAGTACATGGTACCATGTACTTTTAATTTTTATTATTAAACGCTAAAATAAAAGAACAGTGCATTGTACCCTGTACTATGCATGTACCATGTACTTTTTATTTTCTACTGAACAAGATTTTGTTTATTAAGTTACTTGTTTTAGAATAATAGGATGAAATAAAGTTTAAATTTATTATATTAATAAAAAAGATTAAGTTTTCAGTTCAATTTAAATTTGTTCTAAATTTAGTTATTAAGTTTTTACTTAATAATAGCCACAATATTGTTTAACACAGAATTGTTTGATAATTTTGTTTTTTAAATTTTTATTAAAAACTTGAAAAATGAGAAAAGGCAAGCAACAGCTAAAAACAAGTTGTGTGGTTGACTTTTTCTTAAGAACAAACTGTTTAAAAAGATTTTTTCCCCAAATATCTTGAGAATCTTCAACTGAAAAGTTAAGTATCTAGATTTTCTGTATATATATATTTTTTATTTACTATTCATTGTGTTTAAAAAATGGGATTAAACAGCGTGTGATTCAATTATGCAAACATTTAAAACAAGTTGCACCTTGCCTCAAACCCCTTCTTCATCTATTAGGCTGGCGTAGATGTAACCTGTGTTAAATTGTTTCCTACTAAGGATGATGAATGCTGGATCTCCTTGACTCTACTCATAGAATTTTGCTTATGCCTCCTTGGTAATGGCTATGCAACTCTTCCTGTTATCTCCATATGAGGGTACAGCTCTAAAACTCAGTTTAATGATTCTGAGGCTGGCTGGTAGTAAGGTTTCCCGAACTCTGTGGTAGCTCTAAGAGAGGCTGATTCCATCAACAGCTGCAAAGTATCAGAGTATTAACAGTGCCAGGAATGTTGCGCATGGATGGTGTCCCTGTTAATGCTTTTGGTGTGTCAAGGCCACATAAGGAGCCCAATGTCGCAGCTTAGGGTTAATTAACAGGACTGAGACATATGCATAGTTCATTGATTAGGAGGCTGTGCTCTATCTATGAATGAGTCAAGTTCTCATTAAACTCAAATCATGACCAAAGTAACCAAAAATTTTAAACCTAAAAAACCATCCCCACCACCTAAATGTTTTAATATATCTTTTACAAATATTCGCAGTCTGCAAAGTAACTTTACGTCAGTTGAGTCTTACCTCCTGCAAAATTCACCAGAATTGCTTGCACTCAGTAAAACAAATTTAAATTCTGCAATTCCTTCTTCAGATGTATCAGATTATCTCTGATCAAATTGACCATGCCCTCTCTCTTTACCCCTCTGCCAATATTGTTGTTGGTGGTGATTTTAATGCCCATCACACTGAATGGCTTGGCTCTAACACCACTGATCCTGATGGCACTTATAAGCCTTCTTAACTTTTGCGTTTCTCTTACTCAGATAGTTTTCCTGACAACCTTTTACCATTTACCTTCACTCCTTGTCTTGTCTCTGACCCTAGCTTATGTTCAGTTTCTCCCTTTTCTCCCTTAGGTGGTTCTGGCCATGCAATGATCTCTATAAATCTTTCTTCTCGTACTTCTTTTTTGGGCTCACCTTATCGCACCACCTACTACTACCCTAAAGCTGACTGGGATTCTGTTCGTGATTTTCTTTGTGATGGTCCTTGGGCTGATGTTTTTTCTCTCTCAGCTGATAAATGCGCCTACGTAACCTGGATTCAGGCTGGATTGGAAGCTTTTATTCCTTCTTGTCGGTTTCAAGTCAAGTCTCATTCTACTCCATGATTTTCTCCTTCTTGTGCAGCTGATATATCCAATCGTAATCATTTTTTTGATCTTTTTCAAAAGAACAACTCTCTTGAGAACAAAACGGCTATTTATTATTGCAAGAAATTGATGTTAAAAGGTGCTAAGTCTTGCATCTTATCACAGAAGTTAGGCTCTAAAGACTTTTGGAAAATCTTCCACAGCATTATTAACAAGGGTAGATCTAACATTCCATCTCTCATTCATGGGACTGATCTTGTTACCTCTCCCAAGGTTTAGGCAGAACTATTTGCAAAGAACTTTTTTTCTAATTCCACTCTTGAAACTTATGGACATTCTCTTCCTTCCATTCCAGTCAAACAGGTTGACACATTGTTAGACATTCAAATCACTCCGGCTTCTGTTGCTAAAGTCATATCTAAATTAAACTCCTGTCACAGTCTTGCAGAATTGTTCTCCAGAACTTTCTTCAATTCTCTCTAAACTATTTAACAAGTGTTTGACTGAGTCTTGTTTTCCTGCTTGTTGGAAAATGGCATCTGTGGTTCCAATATTCAAAAACTCTGGAGAAACTTCTGACCCCTCCAATTATCGTCCGATCAGTCTTCTTTCTGTTATTAGCAAGGTTTTTGAGTCTTTGATCAACAAATTCCTCACATCTCATCTTGAGTCAAATAAACTACTGTCAGACAATACGATTTTCGATCCTCTCGCTCTATGGCCGACTTGCTAACAGCTGTAACTGAAAGATTTTATTGTGCATTAGATGGAGGCGGTGAGGCTAGGGCTATTGCTCTCGACATATCTAAAGCTTTCGACAAAGTTTGGCATGCTGGTCTTCTCCATAAGCTTGCTTCATATGGTGTTTCTGGGAAAGTTTTTGAGATTATCAAATCATTTCTTTCTAACCGGTTTATTAAAGTCATCCTTGAAGGCCAATACTCTTCTTTATTTCCAGTAACTTCTGGGGTTCCCCAAGGTTCCATCCTGGGCCCTGTTTTGTTTCTTATCTACATAAACGATCTTCCTGACAACCTTTTATCTAAAGTAGCTCTTTTTGCTGATGACTCAACTTTATACTCCTGTCTTGACAAAAAGTCTTCTCTTTTCGATCGCCTAGAACAAGCAGCTGATCTTGAATCCAATCTCACTTCAGTAATAGATTGGGGTTCACAGTGGCTTGTGAATTTCAACTCTAAAAAAACCCAGTTGTTTACTACAAACAACTACCCTAGTATGGTCAACATTCCTATATTAATGAATGGCAATCCTCTTACTGAGTCTTCCTCTTTACGTCTTCTTGGATTATCGCTTACTACTGAGCTTTCATGGAAACCATATATACAATCGATTGCTAAGTTAGCTTCTGCTAAGGTTGCTTCTCTTTATCGTGCTTGCCATTTCCTTACTTCTGATTCCATACCTACCTCTACAAATCTCTTATTCGACCCTGTATGGAATACTGTTGTCATATTTGGGCTGGTTCTTCTAACGATTCACTTTCTCTTCTTGACAAGGTCCAAAAACGCATTGTAAATGTTGTTGGACCTGGACTATCTGCTAAGCTTGAGCCTCTTTCCCATCGTCGTAAAGTTGCATCTCTTTCTCTTTTCTACAAATACTATCATGGTCACTGCTCAAAGGAGTTATCATCTCTAGTTCCATCTACTAAAATTCATTCTCGTTTTACTCGTCATTCAGCTAAGTCTCATTCGTTTACTGTATCTGTCCCTGGATGCTCTAAAAACTTACTCATCTAGTTTTTTTCCCCGCACTTCAATCCTTTGGAACTCTCTCTCCCATCTTTTTTTTTTTCCTAGTAACTCCCAACTTAATAGTGGTTGCTTGCAGCCTTGTTGGGAATGAATGCAAATAAAAAAAAAAAACAGGGCATTGTCAGGGGTAATTGCCCATAACAGGGCATATTAGTCCTATATCTATGCATTGGTTTTCATTAATTGCTTTGCTTATTATGTTTCTGTTCTTATTTCAGAAGTTGAAAAATCATCTTAAATTGAAGAAAGTTTCAATGTTTACAATATTGTGCCACTACAGCTGGAAATAATGTAGATGTGATTTCAGTGAATGCACAATGAAGATGTGATTTCAGTGAATGTCAGTAATGTAGATGTGATTTTAGTGAATGCCAATAATGTAGATGTGATTTTAGTGAGTGCCAGTAAAACAGATATGTTAGTAATAATACAAAAATAAGTTTTTTCACAACCTTCGGGACAATCATTATACTTGCAAGCAAACTTTGTTGTAGTTAGATTCATAAATGTTTCTATGCAGTATTCCAAAACAAATTTTTAACAACTTCTCAAAGATTATTCTATTGTTGTTGTTCTTCATCATCATCATGGAAGTCATCATTTTCCTTAAAAACAATCTTTTCCATATTTGGAAAGCCAAACAGTTTATACTTCTGATTTTAAAGTATAATTACTTCATTTCATGTAATAATATTTCTATGTAGAAAATCTATTTATTTAAACTTTTCTATACTTTTCTGTTGTATTGAAACCAAAGAGTATACTAGAAAGTTTTTTCAACTGGTATGCAGTTTTTTCATGGTAGCTGCTTCTGTAATTCTTTGAAATCTTTTTTTTTAAACCAAACAGTCAGTGTAGAATATTTAAAAACTGTTGTCCATACAACGTCTATCTCTTTTGAGACAACATACAGTGTAACAATTATATGAAACAACCCATTGTTCTCTCCTGTCTTCATATTTTCCTAATGTTTTCCTTAATTTACCATTTTCTCCAAATTTCTTGCTCTTTAATTTGTTTTTGTTTGGTTTTTTATTTTTTGTTTTTAACTTAATTAGTGGTTATTTGCAGCCGTGTTGGGTGTTAATTTGTTTTCAAAAATATATACTTATATGTTTTATAAAACAATAAATTTTATGCCCATTGTATTATTACTATTGTTAAGAAAATTAAACAATCCTCTTAAGAAATTACTTTTTTTTTTAAAATAAATCAAAGCAATAACAACAACAAAATAGCACTTTAAAAAAAATAAAACTCAAGTTACATAAAAATGAACATGAAAAGTATTTTTGTCACAAATTTGTTTTATTTCATTTGTATTTAAAAATTATTTTCTAATTTTTTTTAAGACACAGACTAGTCAAAGTTTGAGTCAAGAAGAAGAAGAGCTGCAGCTAGCTTTAGCACTCTCACTTAGTGAAGAACAATCGTCTAAGGTATTTCCAAAATAAGCAAAAATAACTTTTAAAGTTTTTACATTTATTGTTAAAAAATGAAATATAAATAAAAAATTTGTTATAATGTTGTTTAGAGTGTTTCATCAAGAGGTTGGTCAACTCCACAGCAATCATACACTGCGCCATCAAATAATTATTTGTCAAATGAAAAAATTTCTGCAAATATTTCTAAATCATCAGAAAGTAAACCTAGCTTATACTCAAAAGCTGTAAGATTTATTTTTTTAATAAAATTCGAAAAATGTAACTATTTAAACAGTTTCTGCAGTTTCTTGATGATTTCAGAATAATCTGTGAACATATTTTTATCACTATTACATATATATCTATGCTATATGCATACATACATTAGTGATCAACCGCAACAGAAAAAAAGCCGAAACTGAAATAAACCAATATTTCGGCTACTTGAATTTAGTGCCGAAACCGATACCGAATTTCAGCGTGTATCCCAAATTGAGATTTAATACATAAGTTGGCGATATAAGTTAATAGCGAAATTTAAAAACTGGCAGATTTTCTCTGCAAAGCAAGATTTTTTTGAGGTATTTTGTGAAAATTCTCAAAATATTTTGTAAAAATTCTAAAAAATAACTGTTTTTCTAAATTAGATAAAAATCAGTTTTTGGTATGTTTTTCAACCAAAATTGCGGTTTTTACCAAATTTTCAAAAAGTACCTAAACCGAAATTTTGGTATCAGTTCAAATTGAAATTTCGTCCGAAACAGAATTTTGGTCGATCACTAACATACATACATACATAAATACATACATACATACATACATACATACATACATACATACATACATACATACATACATACATACATACATACATACATACATACATACATACATACATACATACATACATACATACATAGGAAGTTTGTGTATCTAGGACTGGATTTTTCATTACCCCAATACAAGGCCGTGGACTTGTCTAAATAGGATGAAACAGATATCACATCTCTACATTAATTACTTTATATTAATATAGGTATAATGACTTAAAATATAAAAGTCCGTCATGTAGAAGGGTTTAAAAATTAGTACCCCAAGGTAAAATAAACTTTTTTTTTAATTGTACACGGGGCCACATAGTCACATAAATTTGAATAAAATTTAGTAATTAATACTACTACTAGTAATAATAGCAATTATAATAACATTATGCAAAAAATGGTAATCCTAAAACCACTGCAAAAAAAAAAAAAACACTCTGCACCAATCAAGTTTCAACAATTGGAAAAAAAACTTTATCAGAGAAACACACATGTCCCTAGTTATATGCATACAAATGAACAAGTTTTACCAAATGTAAGGATTCAAAGACCCGTAGAAGTGTTAGGTGTAAAAACTGAAAAACAGGCATTTTTGATATTGTTCTTCATGTAAATGATATATTTACACCTCTTTCTCATTTTCTTATTTTGAATTTATAAATAAGCTATGATTTTTTTAATACTATTACAAAGAATATATAATACATTGGATAAATCAATATAACAATAAAGTTTATCTTTTTTAGATATATAAATAAATAATAATATAGAAATAAACAATATAAAATACTAGAGAACAAACAGTAAAAAAAGAAAATTTGAAGATGTTGAAAAAAAATTTAATAGAATAGAAAATCCAAGAAGACTATTGTATCTTTTGAACAAAATCAATTTTGAGCTTTCCAAGTTCAAGTTGCCAGCAAACAGTTATATTTTAAGAAGATTTTGCCATATTTACTCAGAGCAGTTAAGGTAAGCAGTTAAAGTCAACAAAATCAAGTATTAGTTGCTCCATGTAGAGAGGAGGGCATCTGCTAAAATGTCAACTCCCTGGTACAAATTTGAGACAGGGATAACAGAGTATTTTGTCAAAGAAATAGTACATATTTGTGCAGAGTGGGTTTTCAAAAAAAAAAAAAAAAAAATGAAAAGCTTAACAAAAAATGGAGAAAGCAAATAGATCTTAAAATTTTCTCAATATGTTTACAATAGATAATTTTTTTTTTACTCTAACAGGCAACGTCTTTAAGCTGTAAATGCAAAATTGAATATAAAATAAACTTTTTAACATGGTTGCAAAAATATTTTAATGAAAATCAAAGCTGACCGCAACAGCTCAACTATTGCCATTAAATCGGACATTAAATTCTTATCAACCAAAGTCAACTAGAAAAATCTATTTACCTGAGAATATTTACATGAGTTACCAAAAAAGAATTAAACTTAGGAATGAGTTAGATAAAAAACTGAAGTGTTCATAGAGGATAAAATTTTATTCAAAAATCATATTGTTTCTGATTCTGATACAGAATCAAATTCATCACATGATTCATTTCTCAGTGTATCTAGTGAATTCATCACATGATTCATTTCTCAGTGTATCTAGTGAAAAAGATAATAAATTTCCTATAAATAACATGAAAATTCTGAAACATGCAGGGCATAATTTGGAAGATGTTGTTTTGTCAAAATAGTAAAATGTTTTAATTGATAAGAAACTCTCGTTTTACTTTGATAAATTGTGTAATGAATGGTATCTTAAAAATAATATTACTGTTAAAATGGAAAGGATTGCATTAAGTGTGACCACTCCTTAGGATGATATTAGTAATGATATTCTGCTAGAAGTGTTCCAGATCTGATCCAATATTGGTGTACATAATGTAGAAGTTGAAGTTGTAAGCAGGTATGGCATTAAAAAAAAAAAAAACTGTTTTTAAGATTGGTCTGAGAATTTTCAGCTCTTACCACAATCTTATCACAATCTTAACTCATTAGACAAAATTTCGGCATTTTTAAAAACAATTCTCTGATTTTAAAAACATGCATCAGATTGCACAAGAAATATAAAGAAATTAAATTGCTAAAGAATATTTAGGAACCACCATTACCCTAAAAACCTTTCTCAAGATAAGAACAGACTGTATAAGAAACACCATTACCCTAAAAACTTTTCCCAAGATAAGAACAGACTGTATAAGATTATGTGAACTAAGTTCTTTTTATTTGGGTAATGAAGTACCAAACTTCTACCTTCATCAACAAGTTCCTGCTTGTCATGTAGTTATATTTATGGCAATTGCGATATTTTTATTGCAAATGGGATATTTTTATTGATGTTTTAACTAACTCATGAGAAACTGAAATTTTAAGTGGAGGAGATAAAAAGATGTCAACAAGATTGCACCTTTTGTAGCAATATTTTACATTCCTTGGTTTCTGAATTCATTTATCACAACCCAGGCACCATCTATTTATCTCAAAGCTAAAAAAGTATTTGGAAGCATTGAGGAAGAAGACAAAATATTAGGATAAATTCTGAAAAATTTATTCCTAGGCATACATAGTATTTGGCTGAAGATGTTGTTATTCTTAATGATACAGAAATTGATTATGTTAAATTCTTAATGATACAGAAATTTATCAACTATCCCTATCCTAAAGATATTTCTTATTTTGAAATAAAGAAACCAGAGATTAGAGATGATGTGATCATTAAAAATTTGCACAAATTTGTTGGGAAGATTTGCTGGAATATTTTTTCATATCCTAATATACAAGGTATATTGATTTGTATTACTGATGGAAATTTTGTAGATCTTCATTCCAGCTTCAAGTTTTTTAGAGATTATGTTTCAAATATTTAGTGCACAAATGACTGCTCTGAATGAAATATTTAGTGCACAAATGACTGCCCTGAATGAAATATTTAGTGCACAAATGACTGCTCTGAATGAAATATTTAGTGCACAAATGACTGCTCTGAATGAAATATTTAGGCACAAATGACTGCTCTGAATGAAATATGTAGTGCACAAATGACTGCTCTGAGTGAAACATTTAGTGCACAAATGACTGCTCTGAATGAAATATTTCTCTAGAGCAAGATTTCATGAAGACAGTCACATTGAAAGTCAGAGACAAAACAATAGTAGTAGTTACCTAAGAGAATAGAAAAAGAGTGGATAAAAGAATGCATATTTTTTTACTCTAAAGCAAAAAAAAAAATGTTTTTTATAATTATTTTGTCATCAAATTACAAATGTCATTATGCATTTAAAAAAATCATGTTTTATTATATATTTTAATTTTGATGTGTTGCAATCAATCCCGTTAATCTATGATTTTTTTCTACAAATTAAAGTTAAAGATATTTTTAAAAATACTGTTAGTTAGAAATAATTCCGAATAAGGTGAAATTTTTGAGTAATATTTTGCAAAATTAAATTATTTCATAGTTCATTTGTTTATTTGACACTTTTATATATATATAATATACTCATTTTCTTTAATATTAATAGTTTGTGAAATATATAATTTGTTATTGATATTTCAGCAGTTATTCATAATATATTGTGAATAGCGAGTGAAATATTAATAACAGTTGAATTATTTCTAACTTAAATTTAGTAAAAACCAATACTTTATAATTTACTAATCAAAAATCATTTATCAATTAAGTTATTTTTAGGGGGTTTAAAAAAAATTAATTGATGAATTGAATTAAGTGAGCTATTACTCTATTAGTTTATCTCTTCTTTTTTTAAATTGCTGGAAGTGCCTTTTTTTTTTTATTAAAAACAGTCAGGGTAATAACTTAAATTGTTGTTATATATATCAATTTGTAGATTGCGCCATATATTATATACGCCATATATATATATATATATATATATATATTATCAATTATATATAAAATGTATACATTAATCGATACACTAAAATCAAATTATAAAATTGAATAAGGTTCCTGATTCAGACCTAGTATAATATATAATAAGACTATATAAATAAGAAATGCACCTTTAAACTGTGTATAACGGTGCATTCCCAAGCACCTTTATACAAGTTCCTAATACACAGAACAGGACAAAGTTGCCCAAACGTCTTTAATTGACTATCTTTTTATAAAAAAAATTTAAATTGTTTGAAAAGGTTTTCATAATTTATACCAATGCGTGGCTTTTTTTTTAATAAATCATTATAGATAAGTAAAAATTATCTTTAGCTGTTTCTTACTTTAAAGCAATATGCGGGAAAAAAATTTTGTGTATATACATTTTTTTTTTTGTTCATTTTTTAAAAGTTTTTTAGAATTTTTTTGTTTAACATATTTTGCTAAAGTTTGTTTTAATGAAATTCATATTATTTTAAGGTCACAAGTTTACAAGAAGTTTCATCTAATCAGCCAGAGGTTTCTTTGCTACTTTGTAAAATTAGTTATCCATTATGTATTTTCAGAATAAAACTTTTAGTAATTTTGCAACCATTTACATTTAGCTTGAATTGTATATGGATCGTTCGTATTGGGAGAAAAAAAAAGCTGAGATTCAATCTTCGACACCATCAGCACCATCAGCTATTTCAAGTGATCAAACTAATGACTTAACTAGAGAATATGCTGATGATTCTGAAGTATTTTTAACAATTAATTATCAAATTTTTGAACATTTATTAAATATAAAAACAATAATAGTATATTAAAATAAGAAGAAATAAAATAGAGAGGTAGAGCGAATAACATAAAATAAATATATAAATCAGAAAAAGAAAAAACATAGTTGTATTTCTATAGTAAACAATTAAATGCTAAATAAATTTGTTTGTCTTGTTACAGGAAGTGTCTGAAAATGCTACTGTTTTTTACGAAACAATGGACAAAAGTATTGCTATGTTTGTTAATAGAATGACAGAAGTATCATCAAAAGGAAAGCATATTGCAATGGATCCAACTGTCCAGGTTTATTTCTAATTTTTTTTTTTTTTTTTTTTGTCAACAATTTGTCTTAAAGGTTAAACAGTTAGCATTATGTAAACAAAGTTTGTAAATTAAAATTTTAATTAGGTGTATTAATAACCAAAATTTAAATTAACTTTTTTTTTTTTCAGCTTTAGTTATTATTAGCTTTAAATTTTTGCAGCCAAGTTATTAAGCTCAGTAATTTTAAGCTAAAAAATAGAACTTAGACTAAAAGTTTATAATTAGACTAAAAATATAAATAAGATAATAATAATGTTGTTTTTACGTAGCTTTTTACATAGTTTATTTGTTATAATGTGTTTTACCTTACCAACTAGTGTTTGTGTAATAAACTCTTGGTTGTTTAGGCTAATTTTTATCTAAGATTTGTTTTGTTGACCTTATTGTCAATTATGATCTTATTGTCTCTTTATAAAAATGATATAAATAAAATATTTATTGTGCCTATGATATAAATAAAATATTCATTGTTTTTTTATAGTCGTTGTTTTCTTCGCTTACTGCTATGCATCCTCAATTGCTAAATCTTATTGAAGACCAAGAAGAGAGTCAAAGTAAAACTTTTTTTTTTTTTAATTGTCTTTTTTATCTTACTTTATTTTTGTTTTCCATTTTTCTGTTCCATATATTCTCTTTCTGTTCCATATATTCTATATGTTTCTATATATTCTTCCTTTTCTCTCCATCCATTCTTGTTCATGTATTCACCTTTTTTACTTAAAGCATTCTCACCTAAGCACTGGCAAATAGTCTTTTCATTAAACAAATAGCAAGTAACTATTTGTAAATCTTCGGTACAAAAGTTTAATGAAGTAATATTTGTAATATTCATTGAATTAGAAACAAGTTGTTTAACATAATTTTAAATTTTTATTTTGAATATATAAATATTATATTACGTATAATTATGTATTAAAAAAAAAAAACGAAAAAGTGATAAAAAATAGTTGTAATAATTATAAGCAAGTGATTGATATGTTACTTAAATAGAAATGTTTGTATTGCAAACAGTCATGTCTAGAGTTGCTAAGAATATCCAAAGAGAATTATTTGTTTAGCAATCGTTAAAACAAAAGAAACTAAAATTAGATTCTTAAAGTGGATCTTAATAAATATTTGAAGGAATAGAATTTATTAAGTTTAATGAGGATTTAACACATCAAATGAATAGCACTATTTTTTTACTATTCGTTTAACAAATAGTATTATTTGTTAAACTTGGTAACAGAAGTTTAACAAATATTCACTAATTGACTTTAACTTTGATTGGCAAAGTTAAGTGCATTTCACCTGTGTTTATTATTTACTCTTTTTTCTTATATTTATATTCTTATATTTACTCTCATATCACTATATTTTCTTTATTTCTTTTCTCTTTATAATACTCTATATATATATATATATATCTTCATTATCACTATATTTTCTCTATATATTCTTTTCTCTATATATTCTTCCTTTTTTTCCATATACTCCTTTTATTCTAAATGAATTTATACTTATTTTTCTATTCAAGAAAATTTTATATTCTTCTTATTAAAAAGTTTATTTTTAAAAAAAATCTTAGATAATTATGAAGCAATGCTTACAAAGCTATCAGTGATTCGAGAGGCACGGGAAAGTCTGAATGATATGCGTGCTCAGTATGTGGAGAAAACACGTCAACAAGAGCTTGAGCAAGAAATGTTGAGGCGTATGCAAATGGAGCAAAAGCTTGAGCTTATGAGACAGCAAAAACAAGAATATTTAGAGTACCAACATGTTTTACAGCTTCAACGACAACAAGAACTTGAAATGTATCAACAGCAAAAGCTACGTGAAAGACTGACTCAAAACTACGATGGTAATATTTTTAATATTATGGTGATAATGTTTTTTTTGCAAAAAAAATAAATAATATTAATCAACTAGATTAATAAATTTATAGTATGAGATTTTTTTTTAATTTATTTTAGGTCTTTTATTTAAAGAAAGATTTTAATATGTCTTTTTTATATTTTATTACAGAAAATATCTTTTTTTGGCATTTTATCTTTATGGCACACATCAGGGCAGGGGGTATTGCCACAAAATTATTTTCCTAGAATAGCCCCTGATATATATATATATATATATATATATATATATATATATATATATATATATATATATATATATATATATATATATATATATATATATATAATATATATGCATTAGCTTAACTCGATATTTGCCGTCATAAAATTCTCTTTATTTTTTTTATTTTTTAAAGACAATTATTTTGAATTACTGCAATAATACTAATTACCGCAAAACAAGTTAAATGTTATTTAACAGCTTTTTTTATTATTACTAAAAAGGAATGTTTATTTTCTTTTTTCTTTTTTTTTAATATCAAATAATTAAATTTAATATTGCATTTTTATAAATGTTTAGTATTAATAAATTTCTTTCTTTTCTCGACATTTGCATAAATGAATTAAAATATGTTAAATTTGAATTTTTAAAATGATTGAGTTTTTGAGTTTTTAAAATGATTATTTCTTAAATTTCTAATGATTTTTTTTTAAATAAAAAAATCATTTGTAGTTACGACTTTGCAACTTGAAATGATTTTACTACAAAAAAATTAGCGAGTAGCAAATAAAAAGATTACGTTAATTTTATTAAAGTTTATTAGTTTATTATTAAAATTAGATCACTGAATATTTTGTTTATTAAAAAATAATCACAAAGATTTAAATTGCGTTATAAAAAAAAAAGTTCAACTTGCATTTTGTGCAAACTTGTGCAAAATTTGTGCAAAAATGCAGCTGTTTATTTAAAATTTAATTTTGATTAAAAAAAAAAATGTTTAGGAAGGAAAACCAATTGCAATAAAAATAAGTTGATTTTTTTTTCAATAACAAATAAAATTTAAAATTGAATAATATTTAGTAATATTTTTAAATAGATTTGACAGTTAAACCCAAGCATTAGCTTTAATTTTATTTAAACATTTTACTTAAACATATTTTTTAAATCAAAATTAAATTAAATATTTTTTAAATCTAAATAAAATTATATATTTTTTCTTAAATTATGTTTTTATGATCTTTGCTTCAAGCAAAGAAAAAATAAAAATAATAAATTTTTAACTTTAATTGAGTTTTTTTCATTAGTAAATATTTACTGATGAAAAAAATTATTTAAATTTTTATTTAGCTTATATTAAACATAATTGTCATTCAAACTTTTGTAACAAATATTTTTACATAATAAGTGTCATTAAAAAGTTAATGTGCCTTTTTTTAAAATTAATTACTTCTTTTAACTTACCACTTGAAGTTGTATGTTAAATCTTAAATCTGTATACAGGTAAGTATTATTTTATGTGCACGAAAAAAATTAAAAGTTAATTAGTCACCAGCAACACTGATGCTAGTATTCATTATTTTATGTGCATCGAGCATAGATGTTAATTGTATTATAGAATAATGTACAATTAACATCTATGCATTAAGCTAGCTATGCAAGTTAGTTTTGAAAAAAAAAATGTTATGTGGCAAAATCTAGTTTTTTTGACAGAACTAAAGGGTCATCTAATGACTAAGGAGCGCCAAGAAAGATGAGCAGCACCATTAAAACAGTTATTTTTTGATTTATTAAAATTTCTGAGTGGTATAGCTTTTGGCTTGAATAGAAAAGACATGTTGATTGTTGTTGAAAATTATTTGAATCAAATCAAAAGTTTATTCAAAGATAGCAAACTGACTCTGGTTTTCCGGTTTCGTGAATAAATATTGTAAAGAAATTCTCCCAAGAAAAGAAAGCGACATGCAAACTATTAGAGTAGTAGCCACCCAGCCATCTATAATAACTATTGGTTTCAACAGCAGCAGTTATAATGAACATAATTTAAATCATAAGCCATTTCATATATTCAATTATGATGAGTCTGGTTTGCAATTTGATCAAGGAAAAATCGAAATTATGTGTAGAAAAGGAAAAAAAATCCTAAAATGCACAATTGAATAAAAAGCAAATGACCACAATCTTGACTTGTGACTCTTTCACCAAATATTTACCCCAAGTAATTTACCAAGGAATCTTTTAAGGCCAAATATATTATGAAAGACTGGTGCTAAGGCGGTGCTGATAATGTTTATTATAACAGAAGTAGTTCAGGCTGGATGGAATTCGAACATTTTTTGTCATGGTTTATAACAGTTTTTTTACCTAACGCAAATAAACTTTCAGGTTTTAAAATCTTAAAACAGCAAAAGCTGAATGGAAGTGAATAATCAAAAGTTATTTAACTAAAAATCACTTTTAAAGCCTGACAAATCAACATTTTTTTCCATGTTCAAGGATCTTATCTAAAATGGTGGGTTTAAACCTGAAAATGAATGGAGTTTCCAATATACTGTTGTATATTTCCAATAATCAACAACACATACATTTCATTGTGTTGTTGATTGTTGTTTAACTAAGGAATTTATTTGTAATGACAATAAAATATCCAATAATAAAATGATATATTTTCATTTCTAATTAAAACAATTCCACTTTGTTAATAGATTAACCTTATTAATTTACATTTAGTATTAATTTTGTGTGTGTGTTTTTTCATATTTTATATGGATCTGGAATTAGGGACATGAGTTATTCTGAAATATTTTATAATGAGCAAGTTATGAAGATTAAAGTTCTAAACCATCCGGAGTTAGGGGGTTTTATAGTATATATTAGAAAATGTATTGATTATGTTTTTTTACAAAATCTTTTTTTAATAAATCATTTAAATTATTATTCTAAAGGTTTTTATACAAACTTAGAATCGTTAATTTACTAAAAAAAGTTTTTGTTTTTAGGTTATTCTGTTGGAACTGTTCCCTCCCAACAGCCACAAGGTTATTCAGTTGGAACTGTTCCTTCACAGCAGCCACAAGGTTATTCAGTTGGAACTGTTCCTTCACAGCAGCTACAAGGTTATTCAGTTGGAACTGTTCCTTCGCAGCAGCCACAGGGTTATTCTGTTGGACCTGTTTCCTCCCAGCAGCCACAAGTTTATCCTGTTGGATCTGTTCCTTCGCAACACCCACAAGGTGTATATATTCAGCCACAAAATTTTAATCCTTCACTTGAAAGCCAAAACAAAACCAAGTTTGTGACTTCTCCAAGTTCAATTGATTATGATAATACCTCTCAGTCTGGTAATAGAATTAAAAAGATTGACCAGCCAAACAATAATCTCCCAAACCCTGAAGTTTCTTCACTTCAGTATGTTCCCCAATTGCCTTATCAAAATATAAGTCAAAACACTGCTTTGCCACAAAAGTTTGTTGCTCAACCATTTTCCCCTCTGCCACAGTCAATGCCTGAGTATAATGTTAATATCACACCCCCTCCACCATATGAGCAGTCATTGAAAATGGGCGCACAACATGCGTACCAGCGAGAACCTTTAAAAGATGATTTTTATCAGAAAAAAGCTGAGGATGAAAGTAATTCATTAAATTTAATTAAAGGAAATAGTGTTCAACAGGGAGTTTACCGAAATGAGCAGTTTGCTCCAAACCAGACTGCACCACAACCAATATTAAATTCAGCTTATGTTTTACAATCTCAGCAAGATCCTCAGTCTAAAGTTTTGTATTCATCAGATAATCAAAACTACAGTCAGATTAGTTCTGATCAAGGATTATACAAACAAACTTATCTTCCAGAATCGCAGCTACAGCTTAACAATCAGGCTCTTTATCAACAGCAACAACTCCAACAACCTTTCTCACATCAACAACAACCTTTTGTTCAGCAGTCACCATTTATACATCAGCAGCAGTTTACACAGCAACCTGTGACACAGCCAACTGAACCTCAACAAAATCAACCACAATCGTATCAACAACAATTTCCACAATATAAACAACAACAGCAAAAACAGGAACCATTAGCACAGAATCAGTTTACTCAACACCAACAACTTCAGTATCAGCAACCTCAAAGTGCTACGCAAAATGGTTATGGATATCAACCCAATGGATTTCTGCAACAAAAACAACAGTATGGTTATGCACCTAATATACCACCTCAAGAACTAAATCCAAGCATGAAAGATTTGCAGCTAATTTCATTTGACTAAATAAGGCTTTATTTAACAATACTATAATTATTCAAATGTTTCTTTTTTATAAAATTTAAATATGTTTGACTTTTTTTATTTATATTAATGAGCAAATCTTTTTATTCATTACCTAATTTTTATTTTTTTCTAAACTTTTAATAAAATCATTATTTAAGTAATATTTATTTTCATTGATTATTATTATACAGAATGATCATATCTTTACTTAACTTTCATCGATTAATGTTTTACAGAATGGTTATTTTTCTTCACAACTTACCGCATAATTTAAATTGTTGTTTGTTTGTTTTTAATTTATATTTTGTTTTTTCACTGAATTAAAAATTTAAAATATGAAATTATGTTTAAAAAAATTATTTTGTCCTTCCTTGATCAACCAAGTTGTCCTTATATTAGAACTTTTGCATTAACATTTTATAAAACAAATTTCTTACAGTTGCATGCATATTTAAATTAATTTATTTTGTTTTCTTTTTTTTTGCTTACCTTTTTCATACGGTTTTTTTAGACTTTTAGAGAAAAAAGAAAAAACAAGGTGTAATGAAAAAGTAAGTTGCCCTAACCTAAAACCCTAGTTAGTGTAGCGGCCCTCTTTGCATGTTTTCTCTATTTAGTCAGATGATGTATGTATGTATGGAAGCCCCCAGCAGTCCCCTGTTTCAGTATGACCTCAGACTGCTTATCAAAGTATGTAATATTATGTGTATATATATATATATATATATATATGTATATATATATATATATATATATATATATATATATATATATATATATATATATATATATATATATATATATATCCACTACATTCAAAAAAGTACAAATATATATATAATATCAAGTGTATTACTTCATACACATTAAAAAGTAATAAATATTAAAAGAAAAAAAAGATAGATCTTTAATTGTGTATTTTTCGTTTTCCACCACTGTATGTACGCGCACACACACACACACACACACACACACACACACACACACACACACACACACACACACACACACACACACATGAAGGTAATCCAAAGTTTACAATCTATAAAAAAATCTGATTTTAATTGAATTATTTATTTTATCTAAATATGTTAGTAATCATGACATTTTGTCGCGTTGGTTTGACAAGGTTCTAACTAACATTTTTTCCAAAATTAGGATTATGACTTCATTGGACTATTTGTATCATGACAAACAAAATAAACTAAAATTGACTGCGATCTAGCATAAAATAAGCAAACTACCAATGTGTCGAAGTTCTATCTGCAGGTTTAGTTAACTAATATTAAGTTTGACAAGGTTCCAACTAACAGGTTAGGGTAAGCCCCAAATGCAGACTACTCTAAATTTTTTTCAGTTAAATATATTATGATAGAGAATTTCATGCTCATCAAAAATTATATAAAAACATTGGTCTCAGTATCAAAGTATAGTGTTCTAATTTGACGTTGATGTAAAAAAAAATAAATCACAAAAACGCTTGTATTTGCTATTTTTTATAAATCTTTTTATAACATTACATCAAAAACAAAAATAAATGGCTTTTATAGGCTAAAACTCTTTTTTAAAATTAAACAATCACAATTCAGTCTTCTCACTTACCCTTAGTCCATGTAAGTATATTTTGCCTCGCATGTTAACTGTCAGTCAATGAGAGCTTTTAACTTTGTCTAGCCCCCAAAGGTCAGTCATGCATGTTTACTACTTATCGCTTATCTTTAACGGTCAGTTAATGAATGTATAATTTTGAATATAGTTGGTGAACAAAGTAATGTAATTTTTATTAACTACATCATATACATTAGTAATATAAGGAAAAAATGAACAATTTGTAATAAAAAGTTTTTTAGCAATGTTAAAAAATTTTATAATTAAAAAAAAATTTTAAGATGATGATTTAAAAAGACTTTAAATTAAGATAGTAATACTGGAAATGAAACTATTTTTTATGAAAAAAAGTAAAGAAAAAAAAAGTAACTTAACTTGGCAGCATATTATACAACAACCAAACAACAATTCTTAGCTGGATTATGAATTATGATTATGAATTATGGGCTGAATCAATGGCTTACAATGCCAGCAAGCATTTTTCTAGTGCTTTTTGCAAGATTTTGGATGTTGTGGAAACGCAACATGAGCAACTTAGTAACTTGGTCTGACTGCTGTGTTTCTCAAAATCAGAATAGTATAATATCAATTAGAATAGTATAATATCCAAGCAATCTGCTAAACAGTTCAGTGTGACATTTTTAGTATTTTTGTTGTTGTTGTTGTTGTACTAAATGTTTGAGATTTAGTACAGGAAAGTCTCTGCATATTTATCAGTACTTTGCTATATCTGACATCATACTGACTTAAGGAGCTGTGAGAGTTTCGATACATACACAGATTGATATAGATTGAGGAAAAAATCGCACTATAAAAAATCTATTATAGCATATATAGATATGCATTTGTCAACTTGTTTTTCTGCGCAGCTGCCTTGTTCAGCAAGGTTCATGTTTCAGAGTTATAGAGTTGAGAGAGTGTTGTAACCACAACTAAAACAGCCTTCTTGAGTGGCCTTCATGATCTTGGGGAGGTGAATTTAAAAAAATCATTAATCTTTGCTTTTTTTGCCTTTTCTGAAAAATTGAAGTACACCAAGTGTATTAGAAATTAAGTGTGTATATATATATATATATATATGTATATATATATATATATATATATATATATATATATATATATATATATATATATATATATATATATATATATATATATATATATATATATATGTATATATATATATATATATATATATATATATATATATATATATATATATGTATATATATATATATGTATATATATATATATATTATATATATATATATATATATGTATATATATATATATATATATATATATATTATTTTGTATTATTGTCCACAGGAACATTTTTATAATTTACCTGATCAAAGTTTTTTTTTAATGTTCTGATTGCTAATGCTTGAAAAGGTTTTGCTTGCTACTAACTGCTATGGAAAATTGCACAAGCTTTCTTTAGAAACCTTAGAATGTGACTTGGTTGACAGCGTTTTTCAAACCACAAAGGAATATGGGTTTAAACGTGTTGTTACGACACCAACTTGTGCATGGGCTGTATGTGTTGATCAAAATATTTACTTTAGTGTGTTAGAAACTGATCTTCCTATTAAAGTGGGAGAATGTTATTACGAAAATGAGAGGTGGTCAATAACTTACGGATGGTCTCAAAAATCTGTAATCTTCTTTTATTTTATTTTTAAATCATTTTTCTTTTTAATTCTGTTTTTATAATATGTAATAAGCAATTATTTGTAATATATTTACATTAACTGCAGCTACTTTTTTCTGATCGATGGCATTGGAGTTCTAAAGATGGTAAAATTGATCGAAATCCTGAACAAATTAATCTTCCTTCAGAAGATTGGTGTTGGGAAGGTGATTGGATAATTGATAAATCAATTAACTGTGATTCTGAGGTTGGTACTTGTTTTTGATTTTTAGATATTTAGTTAACTTAATTATATAGAGTATTTAAATATTATACTGTTATAGTTACTATAGAAATCGATGAAATCAATTAAAAACCGGATTAGTACTAATTAATTTTTTAGCTTTTAAAGTATAAAAAATCTGTTGTTGCTTTTTTATATTATATATTTATATTTGTATATTTGTTTATATTTTTATATTATATATTTATATTTGTATATTTTTTTATATTTTTATATTATATATTTATATTTATATATTTGTTTATATTTTTTATATTATATATTTATATTTGTATATTTGTTTATATTTTTATATTATATATTTATATTTGTATATTTGTTTATATTTTTATATTATATATTTATATTTGTATATTTTTTTATATTTTTATATTATATATTTATATTTATATATTTGTTTATATTTTTTATATTATATATTTATATTTGTATATTTGTTTATATTTTTATATTATATATTTATATTTTATATTTTTAAAATTTATATATGTATATAGAATTAAAACTTGGTTAAACTATATTTTTTTTTTTACATTTTGTTATTGTGATAAATATTTTTTTACTTAGGGCTGGCAGTATGCAGTAGATTTTCCAGCTGTTTATCACAGTAAACCCGGGAAATTATCATTTGTTCGTAGAAGAAAATGGATTCGATATCGTAAATTCATCTCTTACAATAAATGGAGTGCTGTAAGTGAAAACTTAATGTAAATGCTGTTCACTATTTTTATTTAGAGTGAATTAAATGAAGAATAGATAATGAAAATATTTGTATTTTTAACTTGTGTTTTTAAATTTTTAAATATTTTTATGATTTTTTTTTTAACAATTAATTTTTGGATTTATTTATTTTTTTTATTTTTGTAAAAAATGTCATAAGAGTGTTCAGTTAATTTTTCAGTTAACAACTGACATAAAAAGCTTTCATTTAACTTTTTTCCATGGAAACTCAAGTGTTTTTAAAACTTTTAAAAGATATTGAAATTTTATTTTTGTTTCTTTATTTACTTTTTACTTAGTTTCATTATATTTAAAAGATTTTAAAAATAATTAACAAGTAGGGGAGAGTGGGGCACCATAATACATGGGGAACCATGAAACACTGTAATTGTGAAAACATCATAAGAGTTGGGATCCTCAGATGGTGAAACAGTTACTACTAAAAAGCTATGTTTTGGCAAAAAAGTTTGATATCATTAGGTCTGCAAGTGGTTGAATTTTTTGTTGTTGTTTTTTTGATGAAAAAGTAGTTTATCAGTTTTTCAAGTTGCTATGTTTTATGTTTTTTAAGTTGCTATGTTTTATGTTTTTTTAGGTGCTTTGTTTTATGTTTTTTTAGGTGATATGTTTTATGGTAATTAATAAATTTAACTTTGTAGATATAAAATAATTCTACAAATTAAACCAATCACCTATAAAATAGGTGTTTCAAAAAAATTATCACAAAGCAAAATCCAAAAGAGTATTATGGTCCCCTATTTCATCCCTAATTTTAGTTTTTTCTTTTTTATAATTTTTATTTAAATTATTTTCAGTATTTTTTTACTTCATTATTTTGTTTCAGTATTTTTAAATATTTATTTGAATAAGGTATTTTTTTATTAAATATTAAATAATAAAATTTATAGATGCCTGAAATGTGTGTTCTTGAAGATTTGTATCAAGATATCAGTGTTGGAGGTTTTCAAATGCAAGGTCAGCCTCCTGGTTATTTGGCAGTGTGGGCTATTACTTTTTCTGGAAGAGTTAGGATAATATTTTCATAGAGCTTTACTTAATAATGTTTGCAAACAGGTTAAAAACTTGTTTGTTAAGTAGAATATGTTAGCCTACCACCTACCATAAGTAGCCATAAATGATTTAGTTGTGAGTTAATTTGAAGTGAAAGACTATTTGTTGTTCTTTTAGGTACTATATCGCAATGGTGTAACTCGAACCTGTCCACAAGGGAATACTTGGCTTGAAGTAAAAACAAACAATATTAATTTTTTGCAAATATCTGTGGGACCTGATGGACATTTATGGGGATGTACCTGGGATGGATATGCAGTGGTGCGTTTAGGTGTTACCCATCTATGTCAAATAGGTTAGCCTTCTTATTTAATTATTGTCTATATATTTCTTTAACGATTATGTAAGCCGTATGATCTGCCTATATAATATATACATTAACAATATAAGATAAGAATACAAATTGATGTAATGACTAATGTCAGTTAATGTTGAACAAATTATTTTTCAACATTAACAACATTAAAGAAAAGTTTTGATAATAATTTATCTCAAATACAATGCTTTGAAATTCTCTTTGTCATGTTTTGCTAAAAATTGTCTAAATATTCTGTCAACTGTTTTCTTGGTTTTTGAATTTAATTATCTTTTAGTAACTCAACTTATTTTCCAATAACTCTCAACAGAATTTTTTTAAAAGCTAATATGTTTTAAAACAAAAATGTAAAAATTAAATTAAATTTTTAAATATTTTTTAAATATTTGTGATTTCTTAGTTGAATTGTTGGTTTGAAATATATATGAAAAAAATATAACTATATGAATATTGCTAAGGGTAAATAGTTATCATTAACTATTATTAACATTTTTATTAACATATTATTAGCTTAACTACATTATATGAAGTTTGTTAGCAAGTAATTTTTATGAGAACATGCTTAAAAATACGATGTTTCGTGCAATTTTGATTTTAGGTACAGCCTGGCAAGAATTAAATTACCCAAAAGGCGATGAGCTTCAACAAGTGGCAGTAGGGAAAAATGTTGTGTGGGCTCTGTCTAAAAATAAAAAAGTAGTTAAAGTTATTTTTTTAACTTTCAATAATTAAATAAATGTAAAAAATTATTTAAAAAATTAAGAATATTAGTCAAATTATATCCCAAGTTTTATCAAATTTAAATCTTGGGCTCTGATTTTTTTTTAAAGAGAAAAAAAGGATTTCATTTGGTATTTTTCTTTTTTCATTTATTTTCTTTTGTTTTATATTCTAGAATTTTTTATTAGTTTTTTATCAGTATATATCATTTTATATTTTTGTGTTTTATTATTGTCTTGGTATTTTTTGATTTATTTTTTGAAACTCTTTATTGTTATTTCAATTATTTATTTTATTATTTATGATAGAATTATCATGCATCTCAACATTATTTTAATTCTATTGTGCTACTCAATATTATTTTAATTCTATCATGCTTCTCGACATTATTTTAGTTCTATAATGCTTCTCGACATTATTTTAATTCTATCGTCCCGGTGGGAAATGAGTTAGCGACTAGCTAGCTCTATAGCGATTTTCTAGCGATTTTTTTTTTTCTTATTTTATTTTTTACAAATGTCTTTAACATCTTTAAAAATTCGATTTTTAGTGTTGAGTCTATTATAACTATGAAAATAATTGAACTTTAAACATTGCGATTTTGTAGCAATGTGTCGCTAGCCATAAATCGTAGCTTTGTAGCTAGCTACAAAATATCTACAAATCTATACCTGGTTGATAGCTACATATCAAAAATTTTTAGACAACGGTTTTATTACGATATGACGCTAGGTACAATAGCCAGTGGATCTTCAGCTTGTTAAGCTAGCTGTCCTCGTTGCCAAATCGCTGTCTTTATCTTTACAAAAATTGATAGCTTTTCGCTAACTTAAAAAAGCTAGCAATCCTCGTGGCCTAATCGCTGTCTTTATCGTAAGGATTATAGCTAGCTATTCGCTAGCCGACTTCCCACCGGGGTGCTTCTCGACATTATTTTAATTCTATCGTGTTTCTCAACATTATTTTAATTCTATTGTGCATCTCAATATTGTTTTAATTCTATTGTGCATTTCGACATTATTTTAATTCTATTGTGCGTCTCAACATAATTAAATGCACCTCGGCGGTGCTCTGTAACAAGACCGTTCGATCTTCTTGGGGCACCTAAAAATAATATTTAAAAAAAAAAAAAAAAAAAGTACTGAAAATCCTGAAATTTTAAATCACTTTTTTTAATGTGCCTGGGCTACGCATATTTATTAGGAATGCAGTGAGGTAAGCGACCTTATTTTGAGGTAAGCAAGGCCTGTTTTGCTTAGCTATGATTAGGTAGTTTTTATCAAATGTTCTGAAAGTTCAAACTAAGTACCGGTAAGTTCAAGGGGCAAATTAAGTTCTCTTGTATTGCGATGGAATTCTTTCTGGTCTTCAAATTTTCAGTTTTATCTTCTCATTAAAAGCAGTGAACACTATTTTAATAAACAGTTCCATTCAACAGTTCAATTTTCCCAATATGATAAATCATATTGGGAAAATTTATGGAAAAACAAGACAATAAATTTATGACTGCAAAAATAGTTGCAGTTAAAACATAACCTGTTACAGTTATTTTTAAGCAAATACAAAAAATTAAAAATCTCTAACAAAAAATAAAAAATCTCAACAAAGTAGGTGAAGAATTAATTGACATTGACTGTAAAGATTCTAACAGCTGACTCAAACATCATCTATTGTTTATATTACTTTAGCATTTTGTATAGTAACAAGAAGTTTAGATGCAGATGAAAGTAAGCAGTCTTTATGTATGTATGCTTTGTGTGCACCCTGCTGTGCAATGCAAGGATTGCAATTTGAAAGTCATTAAATGCTATTGCCAAATATCTGTAATCTCATTCATTAGTAAAAAATTGTATCTTGAGAAACCTTTAGTATATTTACCCATCATTTAGAACATTAAAGAAGGGAAAGTTGTACATGTAAAGATTGTATATGGATTTTATGAAGTTGTACATGTAAAGATTGTATATGGATTTTATCAAGCACTGATAGCTTTTGTGATGAGGTTACCACAGAGTGGGTTAGATATGGTTTGAAAATAGATCCAAAATTGTTTTTGTGGTCAGTCTCTAGGGATGTTGACATTTGTATGTATTGGCATCATACCTCTTTATTAAAAATTTCCTGTGTGTTCAGAAATATATTAATCTCTCTCATATTGTTAAGTCAACTCTCATATTATAAAATAGAAAATAAATTAATAATGCACAAATAAAAGTAGAAAATAAATTAGTAATGGAAGAAGACAAACCCAAAAAAGTCTTCAAAGTCACCCTGCATCAGAGACGCGCACAACAAACTTTGAATGGTGTTTTTGTGTTTATAGAAATTTTATAAAACTTTTTAGAAAATTCTCTCCCTTTTGTTTGTTATAGTATATCTTTATATATGATATGCATATAATCTCTATATACCTTTAAAATTGCTTTACTTTGATAAAAAAATTATGCGTGAAAACGAAAAGGTTTAGACCCACCCGAATTATTTCAACCTCTTTGGCATGCTACAATATCATCTTTTAACACTGTTTAATAAACTAAAGACTTATTGAACTTTATAGAACAGCATTAAATTGTTTATAACAAAAACTATAAAAGTTTTTTTATAAAACTTTATAAAACGCCATTAAATGCTTTATAAAAATTCATGTAAATCAAATTTAAGAAAATATTGCCCTAATAAAATTTTCAAGTATATGTGTAACATTTAATATAATCTTATTTACATAACTTGAAGTTTACGTCAGATATTTGCATAGACTTTCGTTCAGATAAAATAAGAATGATGAAGGGTTGTGGTTTAAAAAAAAATGCCAAATAGCTTTGTAAAATTAAAGATATTTTTATTTACACATTTATTAACAAATTAAAAAAGTATAACAATTTTTTATAGTTTTCAATTGTATGACTATATTGAACAAACACGTCATCTGATTAAAAAAAAAAGTAATCGAATTAAAAAACGAAAAAAATATACATGTATTAACTGGAAATCAATTTATTTATACATAATATCAAAACAAAATATATAAAGAAAAGTATGTATTTATTAAAAAAATTTAACTTATTAATAATGCATATCAATTACCAATTGGTAGATTAACCAACAACAAAAATACTAATTATAGATTATTTACTTTCTACAGGATCAACACTATATTAAAAAAAAAAAAGGAGGGGCAAGATATTGCCATAAGTTTATGCCCACATCTTGTATGCCTAATGAGATGTGGGCCCTCTATTTGATCTGCAATAAGCTGAAAAGCATTGTAAGATGTCTAAAATAAAAAAGCTAAGACATGAAAAAAGAAAACATTAAAGATTAACACAACAAACCAATTTACCTGTTGCTGATGCATTTTCTAGAGCATTGGTATAAATAGTCAAAATCTGTAAAAAAAAAGATATTTATTGCAAAAACAATCAGCTATTACACAAAATAACATAAACATAATAGCTATCAGTGCAAACAAGTTTTGCAATTTGATCAGAAAATAAAATTATTCTTACCTTGATTGTGACAACTAATTTCCTTTAAAACTATTAGCTAATGATCAACTTAGCAAATTTTAAATAATTAAAGTTTACTAAGTTAAAACTATATTTTAACAGTAGACAAAGTAAACATATGATAGTTGGTAGAGCATCTGAATAGAACTAAAGAAATAAAATAACTAAATTTGCTATGCAATGCTTATTACATCTATTGAGTTCTCACCTAGCCTGCTTTCTTTTATTTTGATTACAATTTATCTCAGCTTGTCTAGGCTCATCTCTTCAATTTTGACAACAATTTATCTCTGCTCACCTAACCTGGTTTCTTTTTTTTTTCGAGTAAGACTAATAATTTTACTTTTAAAATTATCAGACAATATTAAGCATCAAAGAAGTGTGTGTAAAAATGATGCTTAAAAAGTTAGTATAACTTATGTTTTAAAATGTTGCATGCTTACCTTTATATTTATAAAATAATTTAAGTTGAACATATTCAATGAAGGAAATCTCTTAAATGTTTTAACAAAAGTATAAATTGTTAACAAAAAAGAACAGATAATAATTAATAAATAATGCAATAAATAAATACAAAACTAATAAAAGAAAACCTCTGTAAACAGTCATATATTTGCTTCAAGTGAAGAAATTTGGAAATATTGAAACTTGTTTAACTATTTTAATTTTTTTTGATATCTAATATTCTAAAGAAAAAAAGTCAATAATACATATTCTATACATATAATATATGTATAGACACTTTAATTTTTTATATTTTATTATATATATGTCATATATACATATACATATATATATATATATATATATATATATATATATATATATATATATATATATATATATATATATATATATATATATATATATATATATATATATATATATATTAGGGCTGTTCAAAAAAAATTTTTTTTTTTAGATTTGATTGCATAGTTATTTATTTTGTGCCATTTGACATATTAATTAACTGTGCAAAAAATCTTTCCGATCAGATAATGTTTAGGGGGTGCTCAATGACCATAAAGTTTTACGAAAAATGTGAAAAACATGGAAAAAGTAACAAAGTTCCACAAATTTCTAAAACCTGGTTAATTAGATTTTTCAGATTTGATCAGTTTTAATTATCTCTAAATATTAAATTCTGAATACAAATTACAATCCACATCCACTTTATACTGGTTTATTAGCAGAGAAATTAATGAAATAAAATACTGCAATACGACTAAAGTTCTGCGGTTTTTGTTATATCAGAATTTTTCCAAAATAAAACACTAAGATTTTTGACTCTTTGTCATTGATTAAAATACGAATTATAAACAAAAAAAGTTATTGTAAAGGAGTAACAGTTTCTCAAACCGTTATCAACTACTAAGTAGGTCAACTCAAAAACATATGAGCAATTAACATTTAATTATCGTAATGTTATAGTTCGTGCAATGTTAATGCTAGCGAGGACTATAACTCTTC